GTGAGGCTATTCCTCATAACATACAGTTGTCTGCTTAGCAGTTGTAACCTTGGTGGCTAAGGCTACACCCGTAATCCCCATAACAACCATAACAACCGTAACAACCGTAACAACCGTAACAACCGTAACAACCGTAACAACCGTAACAACCGTAACAACCGTAACAACCGTAACAACCGTAACAACCGTAACAACCGTAACAACCGTAACAACCGTAACAACCGTAACAACAACCGTAACAACGTAACAACCGTAACAACCGTAACAACCGTAACAACCGTAACAACCGTAACAACCGTAACAACCGTAACAACCGTAACAACCGTAACAAGCTGTGACAAGCTGTGAGCTGTAATCGTAACATGTGAGACTCTGAGAAAGCACCATCGACACATCTTTGTTGTCTAGGGGAGAAGTTGTAGTCTCAGTTGAAGTTGTGCCTGCTAGGGATTTTTCAAGTTTTTCAGGACTAGCAGCTGTGACTGTGTCTGAGGCTGCTATATGTTTTGAATCAGCATTCCCCCGTGCTGAATAGCACTCCTGAATTCTGTGCCCCCCTTTGCCAAAGTATAAACAAAGGTTGTTGTCCATTCTGTGTTTTCTTTCTTGAGGAGTAAGTTTACCCCTTTTCAGTTTTTAAGGGCTTCTTGTAGGCTGAGGTGCTGGATTTGCTGTAGATCTCTTTATAGAGGCGTCTAAGTCCATAGGTTCAGGTGCTGAGTCCTTAGCAGTTGATGTAGAGGTGTAATTGTTGAAATTTCTTGTTGGATGCCAGTCTTGGTTCTTCTCCTTTCTTCTTTCAAAAAGCCTATCATCAAGTCTGACAGCTTTCTCTATAAGCATTTGAAGTGTTGTAGGGCGTTCTTCTTTGCTGAGTTTATCCTTAATAGAGCTCTTGAAGCCTTGGTAGTAAGTGAAGACTAAGGCTTCTTCATTCCAAGTCAAGTGAGAAGTGATTCTCCTAAATTCTGTTGTATACTGAGCAGCAGAGGTCTTTTGACATATCTTCTGTAGCTCTCTTTCTGCTGTAGCAGTTTCGTTGATGTCTCCAAAGGTCCTGGTAAGTTCCTCTTGAAACTGGTCATAAGAGGTAATCAAAGGTGTAGTGATATTTTGGTTGTTGCCACTAAGTCTTCTAAGATATGGCTCAAAGAAGTTGAATGCAGATCCACGGAGGTAGCTGGCAGCGAAATAGATCTTATCAATGTCTGAGGTGAACTGATGAGGTCTGAGGGTGAACTAGATGTCCAGTTGCATAAGAAATCCCTTCAACTTCCTCCTGTCTCCATGGTATAAATCTGGTGTTTGCACTTTAGGAAGTGCACCTGGGGTACTCGAAATAGCCAGAGGAGCTGTGGGAAGCTCTGTATGATGTGCTGAGTTGAAGATTGTGTTGCTGAAGTGTTGGCTTGAAAGGTGTTTTCCAAATTCTCAAGTTTGTTTGCTATAGTTTGTATAAAGGCAAACAGTTGTTGCATCTGCTGTTCAGCAGTAGTTGTAGGAGCTTGGTCATCCTCCATTGTAGTATCGAAGTGTTGCTATAGAAATAGTTGAAGCTTGAAGCAGACAAGGTGTAATGGTGGGTGCACCAGATGTGAGAATCTAGCCACCCAGGGGAAGGGATGATTTTACTAAGACAACACACTGTCTTAGGAAACAGAGCCAAAGGGTTGTAGCTTAGACTATTCCACAATGCAGCAACCAGGTGTATGATGTAGTGAAGTAGTTCAGACAAGTTGTAACAAATGTTGAGTCTGAGAACTCAGGGGTAAGTCAGAGGTTAGCACCTCACTGACTTTTCAGAAACAAAGAATAACAAGATCAATGCTTGGAAGCTTGGAAAAGACATAGAAGTATGTGCTAGTCAATTTTCTGTATTGTCTGCTTGCCCTTTCTTAAGGAAAGGGCAATCCTATTTATGCTAAAGGAGTGTAGTTCTCTCATTTTCCAAGACTTTCCATGACTAACCAGGGTTGGTAACTGTATTAGAAATCAAGTGCAACCCACAACTAGCTTGCTAATCATGTAGTGAATGTAAGAAAACCCCACAGAACCATCTCTTGTGTTTCTAGCCTATAGGAAGTGAAAGGAGGTCCAAGGTCATAGTACCCCTATAGACAAATTATGTCATAACTTAACCAATCTTGTGGGTACTAAGGAGCGATGACGTGTAATGAATCATAGAGGGTTGTAGAAGCTTTTAGATCTATCGTTCATGTTCCTAGGCCTCTAGTTGGTAGAGATATGCCATGTGGTAGTATTGGCCCACCCCCTTAAGGAGGAGATTTTCTTAATAACTTGTTCAATGAGTGTCCAAATGATATGCTGTGATGTATGTAGCATAAACAGATGTAGTAGAAGAGTTTGCAGCAATCGTTGAGTAGTATTGCTCTTGTTGTTGGTGTGATAAGCCAAGATATGTATGGTGACTTGTAGGTTTGAGGAGGAGGTTCTAAGTTTGCTCTTGAGTTTGATAGCAAACTGAGTGCAATGAATGTCAGTATAACATGATCCCCCTCTTAAGAACGTTTGTTAGCTGTCTGCTTGCCCTTTAGCCAGGTGGCTTTCTTAGAAAGAAATTCTAGAATCAGTTTAGATGCATTTTTTAGATTTCTCTTAGGCTCCCAAGTGTTGTCACTTGTAGGATAGCCTTTCCACTTAATGAGGAAGTAGTCCTAAGCTCTAAGTGTCTTTTTGTCAGGATAGACTCTACTTCATATTCTGGTTGATCCAAAATCAGAACAGGAGGTGGAGGAGACTGAAGTGGTCTTAAGGAACTTTCTTGTGCCTTAGACAAGAGAGATACATGGAAGACATTATGGATAGTCCAAGTAGGTGGTAATGCAAGCTCGAAAGCATTCTTGCCAATAGTCCTTGTGATAGTAAAAGGTCCAAGTCTTTTACTATCAAGTTTGTCTGAAGGTTGTTATGATTATAGCTTACAGCTTGTTACGGTTGTTACAGGTGCAGCCTTAGCCACCAAGGCTACAACCGCTAAGAGGATAACTGTATATTACGAGGAATAGCCTCACCTTCCTTCCTTCTTCTTCTTCTTCTCTCTTTAGATTCAATCTAGCTTATTATTCTCCGGACTGGCTTCTTGACCTCTGTGACCATCGTAACAAAGGTCTAGTAGTTGTGATATGTCTTCTAGACAAAAAGACTTGATCACCAACTTTGAATTGTGGTGCAACCGCCCCCCTGTTAAAGGCCTGAGCCTGCTCGTCTTGTACACGCTGTATTTGGACCTTGAGATAGCCCTGGAGGCCCTTCAGGTAGATGATTCTTTCAGTAGCAGAAGGGTTTTTGAGATTTTCAGGACAATTAAGTTCTGCCACTTCAAACCTAGGGTGATAACCATAGTTTGCATAGAAAGGTGTCTCTTTTGTGGTGTTAGAGACTGTGTTGTTGTAAGCAAATTCTGCAAGATGGAGAAGATCTGCCCAGTTGTCTTGAGCATAGTTTGTATAAATTCTTAGATATTGTTCAAGTACAGAGTTGACTCTCTCTGTCTGGCCATCTGTTTGAGGGTAATAAGCTGTAGAGAAGTGTTGTTCCATTTTTAAGAGTTTAGAGAACTCCTTAAAAAAGTTTGAAGTGAAAACTGCTCCCCTATCTGAGATCCAGTGTCCAGGAATTCCATGATATTTAAAGACCACCTTGAGGAATAGCCACGCAAGTTCAGAAGCTGTGATAGTCTCATTGCAAGGCTCAAAGTGTGCCATTTTTGTGAGCCTTTCTACTACCACAAGGATAGAGTCATAAGGGGTAGCACCCCCTTTTGGGATAGAAGGAGGCAACTTGACTATAAAGTCAATGAATATGGAGTCCCATGGGCATTCTGGTATAGGTAGAGGCTGCAAGAGGCCATAGGGCTTTTGCCGTGTAGGTTTGTTGAAGTTGCCAGTAGTGCAAGAAGATATATAGTCTTGAAGAGTAGTCCTTAGACTAGGCCAGTAGAACTTTCTTGTTAGAAGTTCATAAGTTTTTGCAAAGCCAAAGTGCCCTGCAGCTGGAGCATCATGGAACTGCTGTAGAAGGTGTAGCTGTAATCGTTTATCCCTTGGGACATAGATATAGCTTTTGAATAAGAGAAGTCCATGCTGATTTTTTGAGAAATTCTGTAGTCCAACTTTCTCAAGAGAGGAACCTTTCTTCTGGAGGTCAGCCAAGGAACAAAGGAGATTTTTGTATCCTAGAGCAGATTCATTAAACAACTTAAGGAAACTTTAGAGACATTGATGAATGACAGAATGTAGTTAGGGCACTCTATGATGTTTACTCCTCTAACAAATCAAAAAACTAGGAGTACTTGACAGTAGGCCACTAGCGAGTGAGACAAAGAGGCCTAGTACACTAACTATGTGCTACGATAGGAAGCATGTAGCTATATGTAGTTGCTAAGATACAATAGCAACACCTCCGAGCTATGATAGACTTAGAAGCAACAGGCAACTTTATGGCAAAGAAAGTAGCAGACATATACAGTTTTAGGACGTAACTAAAGACCAACCTATACCCATTAATGGTTGTAGATAGAGAGCTTATCTTAACTAACAACAGAATGGTAACCTACAAGACAGTCCTATTAGTAAGGTCATGCTACATAGACACAAGGAAATGATATAGTTTGATATTGTACACATAGACAATTATACATACATCCTTAGTGTGCCATAGCTTAAGAAACACAACCCCTAGATCGACTAGTAGAAAGAGAAAGTTGTGTTAAGCTAGTGTACATGTAAACAACGAACGGACATGACATAAGGGAGGGATTCTCCTAAGACTAAAAGGAGTTATGTACGACTGCTAAGTCTAATGACCTAGCCTAGGCATCCTTACTAAAGCAAATACTAGTAGAGTATAAGGAATACGAGTAGTTATTCTAGGAAGTCCCTAAGAAAGAGGCACTTCCTAAGCACTAACCATAGGATCATGTGATACCTATCATGGAAGGAAAGAGTCCACCGTTCGGACTAATATATTAGATGTTAGCAGCAGAGCTAGATGTACTGAAAGAATACATTAACGAGAACCTCGCTAAAAGGTTCTACGTGCAACTTTGGCGGAAAGATCGTTCTTAGGGCGCTTGCAGATCGGTATGGGCGTCTAAACGCCCTATTCTTGACCACTTTAGTGTCAGCTATTGCCACTCTCGTCTTCTGGCTACCTTCGACGATGCTCTTTTCCCTTGCCGTCCGCCGCGCCTTGTTCATCTCTTTCACCATGCTATACAGCGTTACCGCATCAGCCTACGTCGCTCTTTTTCCCACAGCAATTGCCGAGCAATTCGGCATCCATAATTTTGCGTCTATTAATGGGCTGTTGTATATGCTTAGAGGCATAGGGGCACTTTTTGGGACTCCGATTATTGGTGCGCTCATCCGCGATGGCGGGCTCGATGGTGCAACACGGAGTTTTGAGAAAACCACGATAATGGTTGGCGTGTTTCTGGTTTGTGCCGCAGTAGCAGCTGGATGGGCGAGGGCGGAAAGCGCTTTCACAACAGGGTGGAAGTTACGAGCATAGGCAGACGGCGCATGGTTTGGAGTTTTGTCTTTGGAATGGTATCTTGCACGTATTTAGCAATGCATAGCTAGGAAAGAAAGGGATATCCAAAATGGCCGTATCGTCCTCAAACTACTTTGAGTCTTTGGCCTTCTTAGCTTCAGCTTCCCTCTTCCAATCCCATAACGTCATACCTCCAGAATAAACTCCCCAAACAACACCAGTGATCAGCACCTCCGTAACAAACAATGTAGCAACACTTGCAACCCCATTCCACGTCAGCCTAGACCCCCCCCCAAGGAATATCGAGAACATATCCCCTACAGGTAGGCCCATTTTCACTCTCCAGCTTTGGCCGATAGCCCTAACCGTCAAGGCCTCGAGGGGCATTGTAAAAACCGCAGCAGCGAGAACACTGAGCGCATCAGCAGCTAAATGGGCCGGTAGGAGAGAATTAGCTGTCAAGTTGTAGACCTTGGCGTCTGACCGTGGCTCGTCAGCGTAGTTTGCATTCCGGAGTTCAGCCGAGTACGAGCCGATTGCTTCCGCCGGTTCATCGGTCGCCTCAACGTCGAAGGAAATAAAGGTTGTTTGTGCGATCGCTTCCTCGTCTGCTGTTGTAGCAAGCGAGTCTCGCCGCCTTGACGGGGAGTAGTCTCGTTCTCGCTCTCCTTCTTGAGGTAGCGGGGAACGGGGTTCACCTTCGAGGGCACGGAGGGTACGTGGATCGGATGTTGGTGTTACAGGCGAGGCGGCGGATGGAGGACCGTGTCGATGTGTCTCTGGGCTTAAATCCGATTCCGTACTTCCCGAGGAATAATCAGACGTGTTTGAAATGCCGTTGGGATCTGGCAACCTTGGTGCGTTTGATAGGTCGTCGTAGTCTTGTTCTTGTATTGTTTGCCGCAATTCATTGATAGTACCAAGTAGGTCGGGAGATTGTGGGCGGGCATTGGATGGATGAGGTAGAAACTCGTATAGGGGGTCGAAAATGAGATTTGAGAGTAATTGGGTGGTACGTTTCCATGCCGCAAGAAGAATACATGGTGCAAGGACCAAGCCGATCGAGCCCACCCAAGATAGCAAATTAGACGTAGAAACAGTGGCTGTAAACGCGGGTAGATAGAGAGGAGATTGAGAAGAGAACGGAACCATGAAAAGCAATGTCGGAACAAGCTGTCGGGGGTTGAAGAGGTTGAGCTGCTGAAGGGCGGCGAAATATTGGTAATGGAACATGACATGATAGAAGCAGTATTCGATTCTATGAAAGGTTAGTAATTTCTCGGGACAGACATAATAGCATTCGATTAGTTAGCTGCGTGGTACGTACATTCGTTTTGTTGATGGATTCTTGATGTCGAATATCTGCTCATACACAAGCGCAAAGTTACTGAAAGCTGGTTTTCGGTCAGTGTGATGTCTTCACCAGGCACCGTTGTTTCATATACCTCTATTTAGCAACAGGGCTGGCAATCCTGCCCCTAGAATACGGGGAACAGAACGGTCTACGCGCTCAAGACGAATGATATCCAACAGGGGATGGTTGGAGTATTCCCGATACAGCTGTAGAAATTAACGGATGATCTGATAACCTAGGTTTTAAATCATACCAACGTTCTCCTCCTTAGGCCGCTTGTTCCCCATACGCCCGCCGTGAGCAGTACCCCGCCTATTGTCCGCCGTCTGAAGGCCTTCTCGAAATCCTCTTCTCTTGCAGCCTTCAGAGCCTCGTCACGTGCCCTATAATCCGCATTGGGTTCGATGATACCTGCTGCTTGCAAGACTTCGTTCGATGCCCGCACAAGGTCCTTCGTGCGTTGTGTTGTCTCGGGGTTGATGGGCCTGCCACGGTCGTCGTACTGTTGCCCTATCCGGACTGTTCCGCCCTGCCCCGGGTCGTCGTTAACTATGAGCTCGTCATTGTATGGTGAGCGGCCCTAATCTTCGTTAGATATTTCTAGGTGGCGTAGAAGATGTCTACGCTAAATGAACTGGCCAAAGTGAAAGGTTGGAATCATACAAGTGCGGAAACGATCAACGGTTCCAGGCGCGTCATTTTTGATCAATATCGTTTGTGAGGTTTGTGAGGTTCGTGAGATGCCTCTCTATCTCAAAAGTGGTGTCACCGCCACCAGGTGATCATTGTAGAGATAGATCGCGACGTCGGTGGTGAATCTTCAGATATTGTGGTATTAAAGCTGTATTGATTCGATGCCTGTGTGTAGTTCAAGCCCACACAGACAGGGTCGCGGTGTTGAGAGTGGGGTTTGGCGCTAAGATTAAGCTTATCCGTATCATCCCTGTTCTGCGTCAAAAAAAATTGAGATTGTCGGAAGAACATCAAAGATCTTTTCCTTCACCCATATCGCGATTAACAACCTCTCGCGCTAGTCGCGACATTTGCAACCATGGCGACAAAGGCTGCATACCAGACTACATTTGAGGCGGAACAAGTTATTCAACCTATCTACACTGGTGGGAGTGTCGCGCTCGATCACACTGGGCGCCTTCTTGCGACAACACTCGGGGAAGATGCCTTGATTACAGATCTGAACACCGGCAAGCAGCTGGCAAGAATTGAAGGGGTTTGTCTACATTGGATGTGTTGTTGCTAGTATGTGCTAACTTTGTGCTAGGACGGAGAAGAAATATCGACACTAACTTGTGAGTCTGCAAAAAAAGCCATCCGATTAATTTTTTATGCTAATGGACACTCCCAGTGACACCTTCTGCGACACATCTGATCATCTGCTCTCGATCATTATCAATGCGAATCTACGCGCTCAAACCCTCTATTTCCTCGTCCGATACAATCACAACCGAATTGGTGCGAACACTCAAGCCACACACGACGCCCGTTGTTGTTTTGGCCGTGGACCGGACAAGCACATTGCTAGCCACCGGTGCCGCCGACGGAGTAGTGAAGGTCTGGGATATTAGGGGAGGATATGTAACACACACATTCCGCGGCCCAAATATTTTGATCTCGGCCTTGCACTTTTTCGAGCTTGCGATAGGCAATAGCGGCGAAGAGACAGGGATATCAGCCAGGAACAGAAAAATCCGGTTCGGTGATAATGGCGCCGATGAAGCACCAAATGGGGACAACGAACTGGCAAGAGGTTTTCGACTAGCCTCGGGAAGCCAAGATGGGAAGATCAGAGTGTGGGATCTATATAAGCGGAACTGTGCCTCCACCCTTGATTCCCACGTCTCAGATGTTAGAGCGTTGGATTATTTGTCAGAAGAGAATCTGCTTTTATCCGCCAGTAGAGATAAGACAGTGATGTGGTGGAATGCGAAGACGTGGAAAGTCAGGAAAGTTACACCTGTCTTAGAGGAGGTGGAAGCCGCTGGATTTATTGGGGATGGAAAGCTGTCATACACTGCCGGAGCGAATGGACGGCTACGGCTATGGCAGACGGAGTCCGGAAGAGAGGCAACTACAGCACAGACCCCGGGAGACGAGGGCGATGCAGTTGTCGGATCTGTATACTTTCAAGGCCTCCCATTTATTCTCACCATCAACACCGACCACGTTATTATTCTTCATTCGGTATCCGGACTGGAATACGTCGAAGGGAAGACAATGCCCGCATTACCAGAGCTAAAGCGGATTTCAGGTACCCACGACGAGATCATTGACCTGGGCTACCTTCTCCCTGACCGATCATTGCTAGCCTTGGCCACCAACTCGGAGGAGATCCGTATTGTATCCCTCGCTCAGTCAGACTCGACGTATTTTGGAGAAGATGTGGCTCAATTGAATGGCCACGAAGATATCATCATCTGTCTCGACATCGACTGGTCCGGACATTGGATCGCCACCGGAGCGAAAGACAACACTGCCTGTTTATGGCGCGTCGACCCGGCTAATAACTCTTTTACTTGTTACGCGACACTTTCTGGACATGCGGAATCGATAGGTGCCGTCGCACTCTCACGAACTGTTCCACCATTGGATTCCCCAGCATACAATGATCCTCTAAATCATCCGCCAAAGTTTCTTTTAACTGGGTCTCAGGACCAAACCGTCAAGCGCTGGGATATTGCAGCTTTGCACGCCGCCCCACAAAAAGCTCCCCGAGCTCTTTACACAAGGAAAGCCCACGACAAGGATATCAACGCCATCGATGTCAACCATAATGGACAAGTGTTTGCGTCTGCATCCCAGGACCGCACAGTAAAGATATGGTCCGTAGAAGAAGGCGAGACGATGGGTATCCTTCGTGGCCATAGACGTGGTGTATGGTCGGTAAAATTTGCGCCAAAGAACACGCCGATTATCGTTGGCGAGAATGGCTCGGCGGGTGGGAAGGGGCTTATTCTCACAGGCAGTGGCGACAAGACGCTCAAGTTGTGGAGTCTATCAGATTACAGCTGTCTGCGTACATTCGAAGGACATACCAATAGTGTCCTTAAAGTCGCATGGCTAAATATCCCCAAACAAGAAGCCAACAACAAGAGACACGTTCAGGTTGCAAGCGCTGGTGGCGACGGGCTCGTAAAGGTGTGGGACACCAGCAGTGGGGAAGTGGAGTGTACGCTTGATAACCACGAAGACCGAGTGTGGGCGTTGGCGGTGCACCCAGAAACGAATACCATTGTCTCCGGTAGTGGCGACTCTACTGTTTCTTTCTGGACGGATACAACAACTGCAACACAGGCTGCGTCGACTGCCGCTGCGACGCAATTCGTCGAGCAAGAACAGGAATTGCAAAATTACATCCATGCCGGGTCATATCGAGAGGCTATTACGCTTGCTCTCCAGCTTAATCATCCGGGGCGTCTCCTCTCACTGTTTACTGCTGTTGTCACTGGCGCCAAGGACGATGGGTCTTTGAGTGGGCTACACGCTGTTGATGAAGTAATCGGAAGCCTAAGTGACGAGCAAATTTTCCTCCTTTTGCTCCGCCTGAGAGATTGGAACACAAATGCCCGCACGGCGCCAGTAGCACAAACGATCCTTTGGACGCTAGTGAAAAGCTACCCTGCCAGCCGATTTACAAACATGGAGGTCAAGGGTGGCCAAGGGAAGAGTTTGAAGGAGGTTTTAGATGCGCTCAAAGCCTATACAGAGAGGCATTACCGACGCATGGAAGAACTAGTGGACGAAAGTTACCTTGTCGAATATACGCTAAGGGAGATGGACGAGGTGGCATTTGCCGGAAACGGAGACGGTGGGATGAGGCAAGATGTTGTTATGGTATGAGGTACACTCAGCTGAACTGAAGACATTGTTGCAATCCTCGTTGGGGTTACACGAAAAACGCGCATAGTTCTAGCCAGCCCTTCAGAGTCGGTTGTGTATCACGACCAATAACAGACGCCATCCCTCGTTATTACACCATTAGCTCCAGTCATAGGTCTATCTCGGTTCAGACTCTGAGCTACGATGCTATCGTGCTTGTCTGTCTCTTGAATGTTGGCTGTCGCGTGGGTAGTTACAGGGCCGCGTACCTATCACCTGTCACGTATGGGTAGCGGATTATATAACTCCCTTGTGCTAGCGGCGTGGGATGCGCTAGAGTTTTTGAAGTTAAGTGGGGGATGCCCTGACCTACCTAAAATAATAGTGGCGTAAAAAGGCGATCTGTAAGGGGTATTATTGCTCTGTAGCACGGCCTCGGTTTCATACGATCTGTTGGGTGTGGGGGCGGCGTTCCAATCACGGGGGGCAAAATGAAGGAATCTTGACTTTTGTTATGATAACGTTCAGTATATTAATGGCTATATACATATCTTGACACAAAGACGCATGCATCATGATGATATTTACTGTGCTCTGCTGGGAATTTCTGTGTTATTTATGTCTTAGCCTCTAAAAGTCTAAAGAGGGACTATGGACAGTGTTCGGCGGATATATATCCGGGTAGTATCCGTGACTCCCACGGGTAGGGTATGTATCCGGCCAAAATCCTACGGGTAGAGTAGGTATATATCCGGATACATGAGGCTGAATAGAGTATATAAAAATGAAGCTTTTGATAATACTAGTAACCTACCCTAACCCCTTATTCGTGTGCCTCATCGTCAGCATCATCGCCATCACTATCAGCCTCTTGAATCCGACCCCAATTCCGTAAGCAAAGTAAATATCTAATTGTTGGCGGTGATAACCTATTCTGCTTTTTTGTACTAATAACACTACCATTACTAAATACCCGTTCTGATGCTGCGGATGTTGCTGGAATTGCCAAGTGACCACGAGCAATACGGGCAATAATTGGATATTGGTATTGCTTTGCAACCAATATTTGAGAATATCAGTGTGCTCACCAGGCCGTGGTTCAAGCATCCACCGCCTCCATTCTGGCTCCTGAAATGCTAAGCCCTCTGACGCAAATAGGTCTTCGTCAGAATCAGGCTCTTCATCTATTGTAGTTGTAGTACCTATTGCTTCCGCAAGGGCTGTTTCACGGTTGATACGCTCTGTATCAAGGTGATACTCTCGCTTTTGGTATGTCCTACAGACGTCTTCGAATTGTGCCCTTGCTCGTGATCTTCGTGTATCGTCTATAGTATTTCGATATAACCTTTTGAATACTGTATGATTCATTCGTGGGTCGCAAATTGTAGCAACAGCTGAGTGCTTACACTGCTGATTCGTCGTAAGAGTATAATATTCATTAAGCTTTTGAAGCACAGCTCCGCATGCCAGTCCAATTGCAGAGCTTTTACCAAGATCTTCTTGTATCGATATAACTTTATTTATCATCTTTAAGTAAAGAGGGATAGTAAAGTTAAGGGTTGGATATGAATCGCTTTGTAACCGTCTCAATGGCTTTAATGTAATGGTGGGTGCACCAGATATGAGAATCTAGCCACCCAAGGAAGGGATGATTTTACTAAGACAACACACTGTCTTAGGAAAAAGAGCCAAAGGGTCGTAGCTTAGACTATTCCACAATGCAGCAATCAGGTGTATGATGTAGTGGAGTGGTTTAGACAAGTTGTAACAAATGCTGAGTCTGAGAACTCAGGGATAAGTCAGAGGTTAGCACCTCACTGACTTTTCAGAAACAAGGAGTAACAAGATCAATGCTTGGAAGCTTGGAAAAGACGTGAAAGTATGTGATAGTCGATTTACTGTATTGTCTGCTTGCCCTTTCTTAAGGAAAGGGCAATCCTATTTATGCTAAAGGAGTGTAGTTCTCTCATTTTCCAAGACTTTCCATGACTAACCAGGCTTGGTAACTGTAGTCGACATAAGAGGATCCCATAGAACCATCTCCTAGGTTCCTAGCCTATAGGAAGTGAAAGGAGGTCCAAGGTCAGAGTACCCCTATAGACAAATTATGTCATAACTTAACCAATCTTGTGGGTAACTAAGGAGCGATGACGTGTAATGAATCATAGAGGGTTATAGAAGCTTTTGGAGCTATCGTTCATGTTTCTAGGCCTCTAGTTGATAGAGATATGTCATGTGTAGTATTAGCCCAGTAACTAAGGAGTGATGTCATGTAATGAATCATAGAGGGTTGTAGAGATATGCTATGTGGTCATATCGGCCCAGTAACTAAGGAGCAATGACGTGTAATGAATCATAGAGGGTTGTAGCAATCGTTGAGTAGTATTGCTCTTGTTGTTGGTGTGACAAGCCAAAATATGTATAGTGACTTGTAGGTTTGAGGAGGAGATTTCCAAGTTTGCTCTTGAGTTTGATAGCAAACTGAGTGCAACGAATGTCAGTATGACATCAAGCCCATCTAGTAGTACATCGTCATTTTTCAAGCCACGCCCATCAGACTTACCAAAGCAACCAAGAAAGCTAGCAAAGTATAGAGAGTTATTGCTCTAGTTTATTGTATCAAACAATCTATTAATATGCCTTGTTAAAAGCCATTCATTTCATGAATTAGTCCAATTTTTAAGCCTAACGACTATGACAATATCAGCATGTACGTTACACTGAGAACTATAGCGTCAATTCTTATATCACTAAGGCCAGCTACAAATTGAGCTCCATTCTCATATTAAGAGAGGAGGCTAGATATCTATAACAACAGATGCATGGTCTACACAGAACTATACAGATTACACAGCTATCACAGCACATTAGATCAATAATAAATGGCAACAGAAATCTAGAGTGCTTAATGTTGTACATCTTAAAGAGCCTACCTATAGTAGTGAATATTTGGCTTAACAATTAGCAATTGTAACAGATGATATGGGTATTACAGGAGCTATCTTCACCTGAATAAGGGACAACGCCTTAGCTAATACTGTTATGTTTACAGAATATGAGAAATTGGCTCAAGACCAAGAAGTTACAACGTAACAACCCTGGACATTTAGAGTTAAGGAAGGAGACGTACGATGTATAGCCCGTATCATCAATATTACTGTTTAAGATGCTCTTAAGACTTTAAAAGCAGCTCCTGCTAAGCAGGCTGAGAGTTATCAATGTGAGCAAGGAGCTACACGGATTCCAGTAAGCTTTGATAGTAATATTGAAGTTAAGAATACTCGAGGTAAGCTACGAAGACATATATAAAACTAGCCATAGTAAGAAATATAAACTCTAGTACGCTTGGCATCATAATTGCCTGATTAGGATACCAGCTGCTACAGTGTTGAATCTAGGGTTACTATTCATAAGTAGTTAACGTACATGTAACGTATTTCACAAGCGAGTTGGCCACCCAAGCAAGTTGGCCACCAAAACACCAAAATTGACTATTACTGCCTACTACTACACCACCACCCTACATAATGACCCTTATTCGATCGTAATTGAATCCTTGTGCCTCGTACATGTACGGGAGTTATGGCCCATAATACCACATATGCCACAGCGCTTCTGTCGGCCTGTAGAACCCACCTGCCGACAATGCTCACTTGCCACCTCCGTACGGACTTGAGCTTCTACCTCAGCACTCTGAAGCATATCCTCTCCCTCTCGTACGGAGAGACTGCCCCCTTGCATTATACGCCTCTTGCGCTTCCTTTCCCTCCTCTTTTTCTGTTCATTTGCCGCTTGTAGAGCCTTAACTTCTGCCTTAAGTAGAACAGCAGAATGCATCATCATTTCCGCCCCTTTAACAAGGCAGCTAACAGCATCATTAATTGAGGTAGGAGAGCTATTCTGATGTCGTACGATGCGGTTCTTAATGTGCTCTGTTTGAAAGTTAAGCTCCCTTATAGTTTGAGGAGTCTTTGAAGTCCAATTGTCACTCTCAACTATAGGAGGTGTTGGAGTCCTTAAGCGTAGATTTAAGTGAGAGAGGACACTCTGTGGCTCGTACGGAACTAGTCCTGTAGCTCGGAATCCGCTCTTGATGTTCTGCTCTGTAAACGTAGCTTTGAATGCTTCTTTGAATGCAGAGAGGAACTCAAGCTTTGTGATGTGGTTTAGCCGGTTCTGTACGAAGGTTTCAATCTGCTTTCCGTACGAAAGCTTTAGTGGCGCAAAGCAGCTCACATCAAGAGGCTGAAGAATGTGTGATGAGTGTGGTGGCATACAGAGGGTAATTATCTTCCGTTCTGTGCAGTAGTGTTGAAATTGAGCAGAGATGTGGCTCTCATGTCCATCAAGAATAAGAAGGCGATAGGTTCCGACCGTACGAGCATTTGTATGTCGATTGAAGTGTTGAATCCACTCATACCCAATTGAATTTGAAGTCCACCCATTCTCACTAAGCGTAATCACCCAATTGTCTGGTAATCCTGAGTCTTCGTACCAAGCTGAGAGGTGATTCTGCGCCTTGAAAATAATGAACGGCGGGAGTGCCCATCCGTACGAATTAACACCTTGGATAATTGACACCCACTCTCTATTCCCTGGCTGTATAGTCTTTGGACGGCTCTTTGCTTCTGAGCTTGTGACTACCTTTGCAGTAGCAATAACTCCCATTGCGAAACCTGCTTCATCAAAGTTGTAGATGTCCTGCTCTAAGATGCCATATTTTGCGACTGTGTTTCGTACGAGGGTGAACCACCCTTCAATTATCTTTGGATCTTCGCATTTTGCTCGTTTGTAATCGTACTTCCGACTAAACTTTGCTTTAAGTTCCGTACGACGCGTTATGAAGTTACTAGTCCAGTTCTTCCCAGTAGGGCTCTCACCTCGTTCGGAGAGTAGTAGGTCTGCCATTTCTTGCACAGCTTGCGGCCGGGGCGGAAATCCACGCGAATCTAGGTCGAGAATATACTGAACAAGAGCTGACTCTTCGTACGAAGTTAGGTTTTGTGATTTTGGGGTAGAATCACGTCGGGAGGTCATTCCATTCATTCTGTTGGTAAGGGTACTACGTGACACGTCGTATGATAATGCAGCAGCTCGGACACTCTTAAATTGACGTTCCTTTAGTGCCTGAATAGCTAATAGTATTCTACCCTCTTGATTTGAGGATTGGGCTTGTGTTGGTTGTGGCATAGTTGACTGTAGTCAAGTTGACGCGTTTTGGTGTTTTGGTGGCCAACTTGCTTGGGTGGCCAACTCGCTTGTGAAATACGTTATAGCGAAAGCGCCAAACAAGCGAAAGCGCCAAAATGATGCGGTGACCAAACCCCCCAACTAAATGTTAATTCCTCAACAACAAAACATGCCCCATAAAAACGATGAAAGCCAATTAGTGCTAGCTATCCAGGCTATGCAAAGCGACCCAAAGTTACGCCTTCGAGTTGCTGCTAGGATCTATTCTGTGGACCACCGCAAGCTAGGTCGTCGTCTAGAAGGTGTACCTTCACGACGCGATATCCAAGCCAACTCACGGAAATTAGTTAACCTAGAGGAGTCCGTCCTTGTTCAGTATATACTCGACCTAGCTGCCAAAGGGTTTCCTCCTCGGCTGTCTGTTGTTGAAGATATGGCAAGTCGACTACTTGCAACACGCGACGCGTCACGCGTTGGGT